AAATATTTTTTCATATTGCTATGAGAATTCAATTCTCATGACCCTTCGAGATTTGCGTGCAAAGTTTTTCTTTTTATTCTTTTTTTAATAAATGTGGGGTCCACCACTAGTTAAGTCATAACATGAGAATTCAATTTTCGTGCAATATGAGAAAATCAAACCTCATATATATATATATATATATATATATATATATATATATATATATATATATATTGTTAAATATCAAGAACAAAGAGATTTATAAGTAACCCGTGTGTTTCAACTACACAACGGAGAGTCTATTATATAACTTAAAAGAAAAAAATACAAAGAGATATACATGATGTGGAACTTCTAAACTAATATTCTAAACTATCATTTACAACATTCCCCCCTCAAGCTGGAGTATAGATCATATGCACCAAGCTTGTTACATAAGTGATCTATCCTAGGCCCTCTCGAAGACTTAGTGAAAACATCAGCTAATTGATCAGTTGAGTTAACAAAACTAGTGACTATATCTCCAGATAGGACTTTTTCCCTAACAAAATGACAGTCTATCTCAATGTGCTTGGTCCTTTCATGAAACATTGGATTGGAAGCAATATGTAAAGCAGCTTGATTATCGTAAATGAGAGATGTTGTGCTAATGCCTCCAAATTTGAGTTCCTTCAATAGTTGTTTTAACCAAATAAGTTCACAGGTGATTGTGGCCATGGAGCGTATTCTGCTTCAGCACTTGATCTAGCAACTACACTTTGGTTCTTGCTTTTCCAAGAAACCAAATTACCTCCAAGGAATACACAATACCCAGATGTGGATCTTCTATCACTGGGGGAACCTGTCCAATCAACATTTGAGTATCCCTCAACTCTGTTATGACCTTTGTTTTTATAGAGAAGACCTTTACCTAGAGCATTCTTAATGTACTTGAGGATGCGGATCATTGCATTTCAATGATCTTCACAAGGAGAATTCAAGAACTGACTTACTACATTGACTGCAAATGAGATGTCTGGTCGAGTAAATGTAAGATAGTTCAACTTTCCAACCAATCTTCTATACCTTTTTGGATCTGAAAATAGCTCCCCCTGATTTGGCATAAGCTTGACATTTGGATCCATGGGGGTATCGTTCGGGCTTAGCATTCAACAAAGTTGTCTCCTCTAGAATGTCCATAGCATATTTCCTCTGGGATATCACAATACCATCCTTGGATTGAGCCACTTCAATTCCCAAGAAATATCATAGTCTTCCGATATCCTTTGTCTGAAAATGATGACTGAGATGTTGTTTTAACTGAGTAATGCCTTGGTGGTCATCACCTATAATGACAATGTCATCAATATATACCACCAAATAAATGGATCCAGAGTCTAAGTGGCGATAAAAGACTGAGTGATCAGCCGCACTCTGAGTCATACCAAACTGCTGGACAATGGTGCTAAACCTCTCAAACCAAGCTCGTGGAGACTATTTGAGACCATACAAAGATCACCAAATCCAGGAGGTTGCTCCATATAAACTTCTTCAGCAAGATCACCGTTAAGGAAAGCATTTTTGACATCCAATTGATAAAAGGGCCAGTGACGGATAGCAGCCATAGTAATAAAGAGGTGAACAGATGCCATTTTTGCAACAGGGGAAAATGTATCCCTATAATCTTCACCAAACACCTGAGTGTATCCCTTAGCCACCAAACGTGCTTTGAGACGATCCACCTGTCCATCAGGACCAACCTTGACAGTAAATATCCATCTACATCTAACAACAGCTTTTTCAGAGGGAAGAAGAACCAGATCCCAAGTACCACTTCCATGAAGTGCACACATCTCGTCAATCATAGCTTGTCGCCATCCGGGATGGGATAATGCCTCACCTGTAGTCTTAAGAACAGATACAGAAGACAAAGAAGAAAGGCAAGCAAAATGTGATGGAGAAAGACGATGATAACTCATATTTATTGAATACCTGGGTGGATGACGAATATTACGAATACCTTTTCGGAGAGCAATGGGTAGGTCAATGTCAGAGGGCGGGACTGAAGTCGCAGGAGTTGATGACAGCAGATCTGAGTCCATAGGAACCTCATCAATGTCTTGGGGTATAGGTGGATGTGACCGACGGTGATAAACCTGGAGAGGAGGATCTGGTGCTGGGACATATGGAGAAGTGACAGCAGGCTTTGGTGGTGTGGAATCTGGTTCCGAAACATATTGAATTAGAAAAGAGGGTAAAGGTAACTGAGTATCAACAGAGTCATCAGGAACAGAGGTGGAGCCAAAAAATGGCACAGACTCAAAGAAAGTAACATCCACTGAGACAAAAGAACGACGGAGACTGGGAGAGTAACATTGATAACCTTTTTGTGTCCGAGTGTAACCGAGGAACACACATTTGTGGGATTTGGCAGACAACTTGTCACGATTGGGATCGAGTTCATGGACAAAACAAGTAGAACCGAAAATACGAAGGGGTAAGGAATGTAAAGGCTGATGGGGAAATAAGATAGAGTACGGTACCTGGTTATCAAGGACAGAGGAAGGCATGCGATTGATGAGATAGCATGCGTTGAGAACTGCATCACCCCAAAAACTAGTAGGAACATTCCCATGAATTAAGAGTGTCCGAGCTATTTCAATAAGATGACGATTTTTTCTTTCAGCAACCCCGTTTTGTTGGGGGGTGCGCTCATGATGTGTGGTGAAGAATGCCGTGAGAGGTCATGAATGATTGAAATGGTTGAGACAGATACTCATGAACATTATCACTACGAAAAGGGCAGATAGGAATACCAAATTGAGTAAGAATTTCATGATAAAACTTCTGAAATATGGAGAACAACTCAGAGCGGTTTTTTAGTAAAAATAACCAAGTGTTTCGAGAATAATCGTCAATAAAGGTAACAACATATCTATAACCCCGAGTTGATTCAGTAATACTGGGTCCCCAAACATCAGAGTGAACCAAACTAAAAGGAGAGGAGGCACGACGATTGACTCTATCAGGAAAAGAACTGCGAGTATGTTTCCCGAATTGACATGATTCACATTGCAAAGTGGACAGCTTGGACAAACGTGGCACCATCTTCTGGAGCTTTGTAAGACTAGGATGACCCAACTGAGCGTGAATAGTGAGTGGAGAATCTAATACAGAATGAGCATGAGAGGAGCTGGAGAGCAAGTAAAGGCCATTGGACTCAAATCTGCCGTCAATTGTCCTCCCCGAATTTCGAACCTGTAAAACAACATAATTTTGTGTAAAAGAAATGAGACAGTCAAGAGAACATATTAAATGGCTAATGGAAAGGAGATTAAAGGGTGAACCAGGGACATAGAGCACATTATCAATAGTAATGGAGGGAAAGAGATGTACTGTTCCAATCCCATGAGACTGAACCTGGGAACCATTAGCTATAGTGACAGCAGGCAAATAACCAGAGGTAGACATAGAGGAAAACAAAGATTTATTACCAGAAATATGATCAGAGGCACCAGAATCAAGAACTATGTGACCAAATGATGAACTTTGAGTAAAACCAACAACGCTATTACCTGTATGCACAACAGTAGCAGTGGAACCAGGGATCGTGAGCTAAGAAATATCTTGAGGAAGGATAAATGAGCTAGAATCAGCCATAGATCAAGAACAATTCGCTGAAACAAAGATGTCACGAATAGTAATGGAAAGAGGAGAAATGCTTCGGAAGGGCCGCAACGAACTCAAAACCACAAGGTAAGGATCGATCTGAAAACGGAAGGAGAAGGCGATCCTGATGGTGGAAGCCGCTCGTATGTTTCACGCGCGTGAGGGTGCGTCAGTGGGAATTTGGGAGCGGGCCTTGGACGGAAAGAATCGCCTCCTTGTGACAATCACAACTGTGGGTGGCTCGCCGAAAAAAGTGCCAGAAAAGTGATCGGTGGTGGTGATCAACGATGATCAAACTGTGGTCCACGGCGCTAGCAACCTCTGATGACGGTGGGTCTTGCGGCGTTGGGTAGATCGGCTTCTTCTGAGTCCATTGATGTACTTTTTGATCGGAACGGTCGTCGAAAAACTTTTCCGATGGCAGACGGTGGCCGAAAACTGACGACAGTGACAATTTCTGGGAAGATTTTTACTCGGTAGACAGTGGGTCTACCGGAAAGATGCGGATCTTGTTAGGCTCTGATATCATGTTAAATATCAAGAACAAAGAGATTTATAAGTAATCCGTGTGTTTCAACTACACCGCGGAGAGTCTATTATATAACTTAAAAGAAAAAAAAATACAAAGAGATATACATGATGCGATACTTCTATACTATTATTATAAACTATCATTTACAACATGAGGTAGGGTCCTTTGACACCAGTGTCAAATTTTAAATTTGACACCTCATCTGAGAGCGATTAGATAAAAAAAAATCAATGACTGTGATTTGTAAGCATGTGACACCATTGATCTTTTTTTATCTAATGGCTCTCATATGAGATGTCAAATTTAAAAGTTGACACTGATATCAAAGAATCCTACTATATTAAGATTGTAAATTATTACACCAAATTTGGAGGCTAGCTATCAACCGTATGTCCTTTGAGAAAATTCTTGGAAGGAAGCAACCAAACCACGATTGAAAAAAAACCGAAAAGGTTGTGTTATGCCGAAACTGTCCTCAATGCCAGAACCCATCATATCATCCATTAAGATAACGCGCATTAGGGGATAGAAGCGGTAAAGACCATACATTTGGTGGGAAAGAATGCGCGAGTCGTTACTAATTCAAAAATTTAAAAGCGTGCTTCAAGCCTGCGACTCACGCACTCACTCATCTCACGTCACTCCAATCCAAACTCGTCTTTTGACCTTATTCTCATAACTGCTGTTACCCTAGATTCTGCACGCGGTTATGTTATATCTCAACCCAACCCTATTGCACAACAAAATTCACTATTCTCTCTTCGCTCTGAAAATTTCAACTCGTTCACCTTCTTATATAGATACGTACCTTTGAACCCTTTCTCTGCCGCACGCAAAGATGGAAGCTAATGGATTTGATGATGCTAAGATACCTTTGTTGCAGACTCCGGAAGACGTAACGGTTAGGATTGTTATGTTTCAAATAAGTGATATAAAGTGTGCATCATGTGTGAATTCTATTGAATCTGCTGCTATGAACCTTAATGGAGTTAAAAGCATCGCCGTCTCGCCACTTGATGGCCGAGCCGCTATCAAATTTGTCCCAAAAATCATAACTGTAAGTCTGCCTTCTAAAATTGTGCAATTCTTTTTTTTTAGTACCAAAATTGTGCGATTTCAATTGGCTTGTAATATGCAAATATAATTTGTATTTTTATTTTTTTATTTTCCTAGAAAATTTATGATCTTTCCTCTGTTAGTAACATGGGCATGCCTAGCATCCTTATTTAAGATATAAAACTGAATAAAAATACCACTGAGCCCATGGATATTAATTGGTACAGAGATTTTCCAATTTTAGTTAGTGGTTTCAAATTTGAGTTCATAGCTAGGTTAAAAACTTACTAGCTAGAGTTTTGCCGTTCTTGTGATTCTGCTGGGCTCGACCGGATGAGTCGAGTGAATGATCCACGAACCCGTGAAAAAATCTCCAAAAACTGAATAACTTTTTTTTTTTAATGATGGGTTCATGCTAATGTATGTTGCAAAGTTAAGGTAAGGTTGTCTATTATAGACCCACACGGTAGGTTTCACTCTTTCTTAGGCATGTGGGGCTGGAGTTTTATAGCACCATGCTGCTCTTTTGAAGGAGAGCCTTGGCACAATGGTTAGTTGTTATTTTCATGTGATCCAAAGGTCATAGGTTCGAGTCATATAATAAACCTCGTACAAATGTTGCGTAAGACTTGGTTAGTTAAGACCAGTGATATAGACCCACACAATGAATGGGTCTGATACTTTTCCTCATAGCGGGAGCTGAACCAGGTTGCTCTTTTTTACTGTTCTGTTTTACAAATACTTTATAGTTATGCTGACTGAAACTAATGATATTTCTAATGCAAATATATTGTAGGCAAAAAAAATAAAAGAAACCATTGAAGACACTGGCTTTAGAGTTATTGAACTCGATGAGCAAGAAATATCAGTATGCCGAGTTAGAATTAAAGGAATGGCATGCACAAGCTGCTCTGAGTCTGTTGAGAATGCACTTCAAATGGTTGATGGAGTGAAAAAGGCAATAGTTGGTCTTGCTTTAGAGGAGGCAAAAGTGCATTTTGATCCTAACCTCACCGATACCAACAAGATAATCGAGGCTATAGAAGATGCAGGTTTTGGAGCAGATCTTATTAGCTCTGGGAATGATACGAACAAATTGCACCTGAAACTTGAAGGGGTTGATTCTGCAGAAGATGTAAATGTCATAATGTCTTCTCTTGAGTTAGCTGTAGGTGTGAATCATGTTGAAATGGATTTGACAGAACATAAAGTTACAGTTAGCTATGATCCAGACATTACAGGTCCAAGATCTCTCATTCACTGCATAAAGGAAGCTAGCTGTGGCCCCAAGATGTATCAGGCAACCTTGTACTCTCCTTCGGGACAAAGAGAAAAGGATAAGGTGAATGAAATTCGTATGTATAGGGACCAATTTTTGTTCAGCTGTTTATTTTCTGTCCCCGTGTTTGTATTTGCCATGGTGCTTCCCATGCTTCCTCCATATGGCAACTGGTTAAACTATAAGATCCACAATATGCTTACTCTTGGGTTGTTCTTACGATGGATACTTAGCACGCCTGTGCAATTTATAGTTGGCAAAAGGTACTATTACTATATGAGTAGCTACTTTATCCTAGTTTCTTGTTACTGTAACTATTTATTAGCCAGAAGACAGTTGTATTGTATCTGTTTTCAATAAATAGAGTTTTTTATAATCATTTTACTATGGCTATTATTGTTAGGTTCTACATGGGATCATATCATGCACTGCGGCGAAGATCTGCTAACATGGACGTTTTGGTTGCGCTAGGCACTAATGCTGCTTATTTTTACTCCATGTATATTTTAATAAAGGAACTGACTTCAGATACGTTTCAAGGACAAGATTTCTTTGAGACCAGTTCCATGTTGATATCCTTTATTCTATTAGGGAAATATATGGAGATTTTGGCTAAAGGGAAAACATCAGATGCTTTAGGAAAGCTGACACAACTTGTTCCTGATAAAGCTTATTTGGTTGCAATTGATACTGATGGAAATGTCATCACGGAGACAGAAATTGACACTCAACTTATACAAAAGAATGACATAATTAAGATTGTTCCTGGGGCGAAAATTCCCATTGATGGCATTGTTATAAAAGGGAAAAGCTATGCAAATGAAAGTATGATCACTGGGGAAGCAAGGCCGGTTGATAAAAGTCCAGGAGACAAGGTATTCTTCATATGTTATGACTGATAATTGCTAGTATTTTTTTTATGTTACAGGTTATGAGAGCAGAAGCAATCCAATAAATTAAGAACATGACAATAAACATAAATGAAGAATGTTAGTGTGATGTTCTAAGGTTAGAAGATAGGAGTAACCAAAAGGGAGAGAAGTAGATGCACTGTGATTTTTATTGATGACCAAATGTAGAGGATACAAACATACACAAACACACTCGCATGGGATTCAGTTCTGTTTTTTCTTATTCTTGTGAAGGGGATGTAGGGAAATGTGTACCTTATTTGATTACTTTAATACCAAGTTCTAGAAGTTCTAATTAATGTAAACGTGCCATGATAGAGTGGTGAGAACATTTTTAATTTCTGTAAATGTGCTGGACAGGTTATCAGTGGAACCATCAATGAGAATGGCTGCTTACTGGTTAAGGCCACACATGTTGGATCGGATACTGCACTTTCTCAAATTGTTCAACTCGTAGAAGCTGCTCAACTTGCCAAAGCACCAGCTCAAAAACTTGCTGACCACATTTCAAGGGTTTTTGTTCCAATAGTGAGTCTTTTTTCTTAACTATACTTTTCTAGTCCTTTTTCTAGTTTTTCCCTTAAAGAAAAGGTTTTATCCAAGTGTAGTGTCTTAATGTAATATATATATATATATTATATATATATTATATGGGAGATTGAACTTATATATGTTGATCATAGAGAACAAACAACAACTTCAATAATAAACATTTTGGGTGGGAATATTCTTTACCGGGTAATCTGTAGAGGGATTTTGTTAGGAGGACACCCGTAGCTAGAGTTTACTCTGGGACGGGCATAGAGAATTACCACCTGTAATTGGAGTCTACTCTAGGAGAGGTCACAGGGGATTAGACCCCAGCAAGCACATGAAAGTGTGATTGGCGATGTGGAGGGGAAACCGGTTGAGGCTGCTGTAACAGGTTCCAAGAAGGAAGAAGCATAAGAGAAGAGAAATAGGGGATGAGGTAACTTACTAAGCAAGAATTGAGTAAGGAGTTGTAAAGTGGTGGGAGAGCACCTGCCTCTTGAAAGCCTGCTACCATCTTTCTTTTCATTTTCATATTGTAATCTTCCATACATGCCTCTGATATCAGCTTTGATATCAGTGAACTTAATACAAATTCCATATTTTGTTCCCTTTTTGTGTTATTTTCCTTGGGATTCGGTTTTTCAACACAGCAAGAACACCACTAATTTGAGGAAGCGTTGGAAATACTGGAAAAGCAGAGGTTTTGTGACTAAAAAGAAGTGCAACTTTGGGCAGTCTCAACTAGAGTAACTTAGTCATATTATTTTGGATGAAGGTGTAAAGCTGATCCATTAAAGGTCAAGGCCATGATGGAGTGGTCTACTCCTATAGTTGTTAAAAGCTTGAGAAAATTATTGGGCTTGACGGGATACTATAGGAAATTTGTGAAGGACTATAGCAAAATTGCCAAGCCCTTGACTGCACAGCTCAAAAAAGACCAGTTCCAGTGAATTGAGGAAGCACATGCAGCATTTGAGACACTCAAGAGAGGAGGAATAAGGAATGAGGGAAAACGGTTGAACCTGTGGTAACTACTTTCGAGAGGGGGGAAGCATAAGAGAGGAGGAATAAGGAATGAGGAAATTAAGCAAGAATTGAGTAAGGAGTTGTAAAGGGGTGGGAGAGCACATACCTCTCTAAAGTTTGCCACTATCTTTTCGTTTTCATCCTGTAATTTTCCATGCATGTCTCTGATATAGTTTTTGTTCCCTTCCTGTGTTATTTTCCTTTGGATCCTATCAGGTTCTTTTTTTTTTTTCTTTTTTTCTTAACGTGTTTTCATCATGCTCATGGTATATTAATAATCATTTTTATCACTCTACTTGTGGGTTCTAGGAATTCTGCCTCGTGCAGAAGAATTTCAAGACATAATGTCCTATACCGTCAGTTCTCTAATTATTTTTCTTGCCTCATCTTTTTGTTTATATGCTGATCTTACTGGACTTAAAATGAAGGGATGATAAAGATCCTGCATCATTTTATCTTTTAATTGATATCAGAATTGCAATAGTTTATCCATGGTAAGCAGCTTAGTTTATGGATGCATCCTTAGGTGGTTATTGCAGCACTCATCACTTGGTTGGGATGGTTCATTCTTGGGGAAGCTGGGATTTACCCTAAACATTGGATACCAAAAGCAATGGACGCATTTGAGCTCGCTTTGCAGTTTGCTATTTCTGTGCTAGTTGTGGCTTGCCCATGTGCTCTAGGACTAGCAACACCAACTGCTGTTATGGTAGCTTCGGGCATGGGTGCTTCTCAAGGTGTGCTCATCAAGGGTGGAGATGCACTGGAAAAGGCACATAAGGTAATAACATAGGAGAGTCAAGTGTGTACTAAATAATAGTTTATGTTATTTGTAACACATTTCCCCCTATTTTTGTTTATCAGGATAAACTGTTTGAAACATGATAACTAGATATTGAAAGGTAAATGACCATTGCAATTTCCCCAGTTGTGTTAAAATCTTTAGACTGCAAGGTGTTAGCACAGGATATCTTATACATGATAGCACTGTTCTGTATGATTTTTCTCCTGGTTTCAGAATTCATAATTTGGTTCTCGTAAAGCCTGTACAGTTAACCTTTTATGTCGTTTGGTGATGAAGTTCTTTCCAATTTCCTTGATTGAATCCATCTATTGTGATAAATAAACTGCATATTTCATGAAGCGAGGCAAAAAAAAAAATTGTCAATGCTCATATTCTTTTCTAGCTGGATGTTGCTAAACAACAATAACATCTTCCTGCTTAGACCTTTGTACATAGGTTGTGCTGTCAGGCAATTAGGACTGCATTAAAATCATAATCAAAGGCGTAATTTTGTTTATTTTCAGGTGCTAAAATCTCACTGTTCCACTTTTCATTATATCTCTAACATTGATGTCTCGCATAATCTAGTAAATGCTAGCTAGTGTTTATTTGATGCTACTATGCTACGTATTCCTTAATACTTTCACTTTAAATTTTAATTGGAATCTTATTCATCATTCCCTTATGCAGGTAAAAATTGTTGTGTTTGATAAGACCGGGACACTAACAGTTGGGAAGCCAGTGGTAGTTAGTGCAGTGCTGTTTTCTGAATTTTCTATGGAGGAGTTATGTGACATGGCAATTGCTGTGGAGGTATTTTATTTTTGGGAAAAAGAATTCTTATGTTGTAGGAGTTCTCATGTTAGTGAGAATTCGTTTTGCGTGCAATAATTTTTTTTGTTTTCTTTATTTTTTATGTGTGGGCCCCACCATAAATTTGAGTGTGTAGGAGATTTCCTCCTCTCCAATAGCATGAGAAAAGCATTGCCCTTTATTTTTATGTTGCATACTGTACTTATTTGGATATCTCAATATTTGACATAATTTTATTCCTAGTAGCATTTTTGGAGCCTATGTGGGAAAGATATTGAAGGATATAAAAGAAGAAACTGAATCTAGTTTTGATCAAAGAAAATTTGATTTTGTTTCATAATGCAAAGAATGTTTGCTCGGGTGGATTTCAAGTGCTGTACTTCAAAATAGATACCAAATCAATATGAAAAACACAGGACAATACCATTTTATCTTCGTTTAATAGATTTGGAAAAAATTCTAATGTCTGTGGTAACCGGATTTTGATTTTGTAATTGAATTCACGCAATTTATTTACTGGGATGAAAGACAAAAAGGAGAGAATTTATCAATGATAGTGAAGTTTATCCATTTTAATATCTTAATTTTATTTCTCCATAATATTTAATTGAATTATTTCTACAAATTTTTAGGCAAGTAGCGAACACCCCATAGCAAAAGCTGTCGTGGCTCATGCAAAGAAGCTGCGCCAGAAATTTGGTTCCTGCCCTGAGGAAGTCCTAGATGTGAAGGATTTTGAGGTACACATGGGAGCCGGGGTAAGTGGAAAAGTGGGTGATAGAACAGTTGTAGTTGGAAACAAGAGACTCATGCATGCTTGTAATGTTCCAATATGTTCCGAGGTTGAGAGGTACATCTCTGAAAACGAAAATCTGGCTAGAACTTGTGTTCTAGTTTCAATTGAAGGAAAGATAGCTGGAGCATTCTCTGTAACTGATCCTGTAAAGCCAGAGGCTAAACGTGTCATATCTTTTCTCCACTCTATGGGCATCTCAAGCATTATGGTGACTGGTGATAACTGTGCAACTGCAACTGCTATTGCAAATGAAGTCGGTATTGGTGAGGTCTTTGCTGAAACAGATCCAGTGGGAAAAGCTGATAAGGTGAAAGACTTGCAGGTAAGGCTCGTAAGCTATTTTAAGCTATATGAAACTCATGCTAAAAGCCTTTTTTTTTTTTTTAATACAACGGTGACACTTAGTTTTGAATTTATAACCTTATGCTAAAAGCCTATCTTTTTAAATTGGACCTAATAAACTAATGTAGTTTAAACATCTTGGTTATAAAATGATGTATAAAGGCCTAATCAAACCACTCCCCATAAAACCATAGATTGCAAGGATAGGGGTGAGGAAAATTCTTATATACTGGATTTGAACCTGTGATTTCTAGGGATGTGCATGGGTCGAACCGAACCGAATTGGTTTAAATGGTTTGGTTCGAAAATGGTTCGGTTCGGTTCAAAACTGGTTCGGTTCGGAAGTGGTTCGGTTCAGTTCGGAATCGGTTCGGGTCGACCCTATTTTGAAAAGAAAAAAAAATTAAAAATTTTAAAAATAAAGTTATAATAATCAATTTTGTTTGGTTTGAAAACGGTTCGGTTCGGTTCGGAAACGGTTCGGTCCGGTTCGGAAATGGTTCGGTTCTTAAACTGGTTCTAAAAACCGGTTCGGTTCATGAACTGGTTTTTTAAAAACCGGCTCGGTTCATGAACTGAGTTTTAAAAACCGGTTATTTTAAGGGCGGTTCGGTTCGGTTCGGTTCATAGTTCGGTTCAGTTTTTTGGTTATTTTGCACACCCCAGTGATTTCTCGGTCATAAAGAAGCAATATTGCCACTAATCCGGCTTGCCCTCTTGTATGAAGGCCCAATATAAGAGATTATATGAAAAAGATGTTAACACTTTCTGATTTTTTATATTGAAACTGGATGCAGATGAAAGGAATGACTGTGGCTATGGTGGGTGATGGAATAAATGACTCACCAGCCTTAGTAGCTGCTGATATTGGTATGGCAATTGGTGCTGGAACTGACGTAGCTATAGAAGCAGCTGATATAGTTCTGCTCAAAAGCAGCTTGGAAGATGTGATTACAGCCATAGATCTATCTAGAAAAACCATGTCTCGAATCCGTCTGAACTACATCTGGGCTCTTGGTTACAACATTCTAGGCATGCCAATTGCTGCTGGCGTCTTGTACCCTTTTATTGGAGTCAGATTGCCCCCATGGCTAGCTGGTGCTTGCATGGCTGCTTCTTCTCTTTGTGTGGTTTCTTCCTCTCTATTGCTGCAGTTCTACAAAAAACCTTTACATATAGAATCAACTTGATGGCCTATACTAGTTTGACTTGACTGTCCATATTGTCTTTTTAAGATTCAATCTCTATAAAAAAAAATAAGATTAAGGTTACTTATAAAGATATCTCTCATCTAATCCTTGTAAGTTGGGGTTTTATAAGGAATGATTTTTAGGACTCAGGTAACTTTTTATCGCCTAATTGATGTGTTGCTTTTAGGTGGGGCTAATGTCCAATTTTTCATGGGAACAATTGATCGTCCATCTTGCCTACATCAATACCGAGTAGTTGATTACCATGTATCTGCAATTTAAATCTTGTGGTTGTCGGAACTTGAGTTTTGAAATAAATGAGGAGACTATACTGTTAGAAGTTAAAAAGTCGCTATACATTACACTGTTAGGAAATAGTTTTAGTCCTTGAAAAATTATGCTGATATTAATTTGGTTTCTGAAAATTAAATGACACTAATTTAATTTCAGAAAAATAAAAGTTGACGTCAATCCTTGTGTGAAACCCTACTAGAATCCCTTTCTATGAGACTCTGTTAGGATGCTGTTCATGAGAGTCCCACGTGAACCATTATTCTATGGGTCTGTTCTGTGTATTGGTGCTTAAGTTTTCAAAATGGGATCTTCATTTCCCCGGATTTCTGAACTCTAATGCTCTACTCGTTACTCCTTCTTGAAGCTTGTTGAGCTGCCTTAAAAGGCTGTAAAAATATCAACGACAAAAAAAATACCAAAAGGAATAGGCCAACTACAGCCATGCCAATAAAGATTAATAGCCTTTTCCTCTTTTGCCCTTTTTATTTTTTAATACAATTTGAACCTACGACTTCGTGCTAGCGGCTTTCTTTTACCTTCTTATAGGAAAAAAAAAAAAAAAAAGAGTTTATACTTACTACCTCTTTATTAATTTGGGTTTTAACTTTCTCTTATTTTTTAACCTAATTAAAAAGTGGTTTTCTCTTTATTAATTTGAGTTTAAACGTGGTATCATTGTTGTAAATTCAATTTTTTTTTGTGACAGACAAAATATGTCAAATGAGGTGTCATTATGTAGATCTCGAAAAGTTATGTGGAATAAAAAAAATTACTTAATTCGGACACTCGAGTCAAAAGTTATGGATTTCCAAAGTTTTACGGTCAAACTGTTGACTTTTGTGTCACGTGGCAGCACCTAGTGAAACACGCCCCAATGTGGAGTGTCTCTCTTCTGGGTCACACTTAAATGAGGAGTGTCTCTCTCCATTCGGTCACGCCCATGTAGGGCTGTTTGACTGTTATATTTACGTAAATAATTTCAAAACGACTATGTTTTCATAATTTTTTATTAAAAAACAATAAATTAATTTTTTTTCCCTTCTTATATTTGTACATTTTCTACGCAAAGGTTTCCGCATAACCTCTGGTTCAAGAACCAAGCCTTTATGAAATTTCATCCTAAAGATTGTTAGTGACTTACTGGATAGATTTAAATACTTCAAACTGAAAACGCAACACGAATAATGTGTTTCTCCATGAGATCCAAAACCTCCAAAACACTAGGTTTGGGAAGGGATAGCTCCATGTTAATATTTTACATTCTATCATATAAAATGGTTGTGTTTATGTCTCTTTTTATAAATATTCACCAGTTTTAATAGAATCTCACTTATTTAATATTTAATTAAGTGTTTGCTTTTTCTGCAGTTACTGCAGATAAGTTATCTGCCGTAAGTCCAATACGACGTCATTTTGGAGCAGAAATCATGGTGTTTTGTAATTTTAATTTATTTTAGGATTATTATAGTCTTTATAATTATAATTTTTTAATATTTCAATCCCAAAATGATGTCGTTTTGGAAGTAAATGCAGATAACTTATTTGCAGTAACTGCAGAAATCTTTTTCTGTTTAATTAAATGGGTCCTTACTAGACCAATTTATCAAAAGAAAAATAATTAAATTTAAGCATAAAGGTAAGAAAAAAATAATCCCAACCTGAAGAGGCACATTAAGGGCATGTTTGGTGCATAGTATATGATAAGGCTTGATAGTATAGGACCTGATAGTATAAGATCTGATTAAATTTTAATACTATCCAACGTTTGGTATGGTATTGTATAAGATAATATCCTCCAATATTTTAAAAATTAATATATTAAAAAAATTATTTTAATATATTAATATTGAAATGATATATTGGTTCTTGAGAATTGTACTTGTAAGCAATATTAATACATCAACCATTTATCAGGCCTAATCCCACCCCTTAGGGCTGATTAAGTTATACATCATTTTGATGTATCAAGGGGTTCTGATGTATAAGCTTATACTATACGATGGTCAGACCAAACAACTAAAAATATCATAACTTATAGTATAAGCTTATACTATCAAGCCTTATACATCACACCAAAAAGGCCCTAAGAGATAAAATAAAATTATTCGTATACTTACTGCATTGAGTTTGAGTAGTTAGACAACCTTGGAGAGCGAATCAGTTTACTAATGAGTTGGGGAGGAGGTAACCAGAGCTCGCAAACTCCAAAGTTGAAACAAACATTGCGCGTTACTCACTAGACTTAGGCGTAGGGTTGGCAAAAATGAGTCAACCCGTCGGGTTGGCTCGTAACCCGTAAAAAATGAGCAGGGTGAAGTTGGCAAAAATGAGCTGCCAACCCGACCCGAGCCAGCTCGTGAAAAAATGAGTCAACCCATAGGTCAAACAAGCAAGCTCGCGGGTTGAGTTTTTTTTATATAAAAATATACAAAATATAATATACAAAAATGGACAAAATCCACACATGATGTCATCATTTTTCTTCATCCTCTAAACTTAAGTCCTTAATATTCTCATATCCATGCCATTTTTATATTGTTAGGCTATGCTGTCTCTGTTTGGTTCAAATATCTTACCCACTTGGTAACAAGTGGTTCTGATTGTTTCTTGATGTTGATGCAAATTTGTAAGAAAATTCGAAACTAAAATATTTTGCTTTTATTTCTGATTTTGTAACCCTTTGTTTAAGCTGATGGAAGCCACATAGCTGGTGCATTAATACTTCAGGGTCATTTAAATAGGCTGAAAATGAGCCAACCCGCGAGCAATTTTCGAGCCAACCCGCGAGCCAACTCACGAGCTATTTTTTCAAGTCAACCCATGAGCCATATTTTTTAGCCAACCCGCGAGCCAACCCTAACCTGACTCGGGTCGGGTTGGGTTTTCTGGCTCGTTTTTTTTTTAGTCAACCCTAACCCGGTTCGTTTTTTTTTTTAGTCAACCCTAACCCGGCTCGTTTTTTTCGGGTTGAATGCGGGTTTGGCCGGACCTGACCGGGTTGACCCGTTTTGCCAACCCTACTTACACGGAGAAGAAAACCCATGTTTAAACACTTAGACACCATTACATATATACTTCGTTGTTGATTTGTAAGTGTTAGTGTGTATTACCCAAAACATTGTCATTTGCTTTATTATGTGTATCTCTATCGTTTTAAATAACTAATGTTATTTTTGCTCACCTAGCTAGGTAAAAAATCTTTTTACCTCATGTGGTTTTCACATTACACTCAGAATTTTTTCACACTCTATCCTTGCTTACGCTTGCTTTCTGTTCAGGAATGAACATCAATGTCTACCAGGATAGCTAGTATTTGTATCTGCAGAGCGTATGGTAAAGATGACAAGTAATGAGAAGTCCTGCACCTTAGGCCAAAGTCCGATGGTATGAACAATGGGTGGATGTGTGAGTTACATTCCTAGTGGATAGGATGTGCTCTGGACACAAGTGTGTAGGTTGTAGCATGGTGGCCAGCCTTGTGAATATTAAGATATGTTATCAGATGAGTTCCCTCTTTGTTATCTATAAGGAGTTATATATAAATGAAATGCACTAGGAGGTTGTGCCCCTAGTGGGTAGTTTGCAGGTGACTTAATGGTGTGATGCAATACTTAGTGGGTGGTTATTTGTAGTGGATGGAAGTTAGGGGAGAGTGGTGGAATGAGATGCTCCATGTAGTGGGGATAGGAAGTGTGAACCACCTAAGTGAGGGAGCTAGCTTTTGGAGTGGTGTATCCCAAGGTTCTTTACAACATTAAAAAATTAAATAAATTTTTTTTATTTTTTATTAATAACTATAAGTACAATATTTGCAATTACAAGGATCCGAGCTTCAATTTAAGATCCATTTTAATCCATCATTAATTTATAAAGCCATGGGTTTAATAACCAAGGAGTAAGATTGCAGTACGAAGAAAATCTTCTTTCAATTCACATTTTCATAGAGCAATGCTTATATTGTTATAATAAAAAAAGGGGGGAGAAGGATAAAGCATAAAAATTAAAATAAAATAAGGATCATATGTGTTATTCAAAAAAGAATGGATGATTTAGTCAAATAAAAAGAGTAAACATGTCATTGTAATGCATGTGGCTGAACTGTCCAGCAACTAATTCCAAGCTTTCTTTTTATAGATTAGAAATGGTCTCCACATGAAGTATGAATTAAAAACTAATCATATTTTCGTCAAAGATTTGGAAAATTCTCTTGAATGCTTCAAAGGTGAGACATCATTATCCAGGTGCACATCATCTGCAGTTAAAAGTATGAAAACAATCGATTTAGAAATCACAATATTTTCTTTCATTTCCTTACCTTCCTCTCCTCATTGAACCCGACCATATAGTCATTGTCCTCCGCCATTAACGTTGTTCTTTGATTAGAACGCTTAAGTACGGGTTAATTTTCTTAGCAAGTTTTCACAACAAGTTTCCTGGGATGCAGTGGCCTGAGAATGTGATTTTTTTTTCTTTTTAAGGCAACCGGCTTTAATGAAGCCACGCGATTAATGAAGCCACGCGATTAAAATGTCGCCTCTTCAATATATGCTTGAGTTTGGCTGAGACGAAATTTCTTCATCATCATCAAATACTAGGTCATCTAATACCAATACAGGACTAAACTATTCTTTCTCCTCATTTGGCCAATTTTGTTCCATGAGAGTAAACTCACGACCCATAAATTCTGTTCTTAGGCGAAGTGAAATGCCCTTTATGTTTAATTTTCTAGACATATCCAACTAAGTTTTAAAATAATCCACATTATAAGCTCAGTAAAAATGGGATAATCAAATTCAAAAATACAACGTTGAAAATTTTGCTTCACATAAGGAAAATAAAAGATTGACATGCATGCAACTTTTGTAATTTTCACTTTTTATCCTCTGTTCCAGTATGTTTAGGACACTAAATATATCAAAAGAAAGAAAACTTAGCTTA